CAAAATATCGGCTTGGGACCCACATTTCGACTGGTCGGTGGGTCGATTATTGGTAATTGTATATTGTTAAAGAACGATTTCGCTTCCGCTTTGATTAATTATAGTGTATAATTCCGCTACTTAGATTGATGTATATGCAAAACACAAAGACTTTGAACGAGCCTAGTCGAACTCATTCCCTTAACAAGATGAGTCGAGCTCGTGCCTTTGACGAGTCCAGTCGGGTTCAGCTCGTTCAATAAGCGAACTTGAAATCGAGCTTGAATTCGACTCGTTTATCACTGATGATGTGGTGATTTGGATCTTTAACGACTTAAATAAAATTTACTTTTCGAGCCTTGACGATCCGAGCCGAACTGTTAACCAAATAAGTTTTAAATAAGCTTGAGCTCGACTCATTTACCAAACGAGTCGAGCCGAACTCGAGTCGAGCCGAACTCGAGTCTAGCTAGCTGAGCCAAACTTGTTTAATTTAGCAACACAATTGATATCAATTTGCACACACTACTATATTAAAGTTGCAAGTGTTATCTATAGGTACTAGGTCTGCACAATTAAGATCTAGTGCAACAAGTGTTAAACTAATCTCAAATATATATTTTTTTTTTTTTTGGGTACAAACTAATCTCAAATATTTAACACCAGATTAATGGTTTTAGTTGACCCCAATTTATTGTCCATATCACACAGATAAGTTTGCAATACTTATTCAAATTAATGAAAAAAAAAATAACATAAAATAAATGTTTGCTTTGTGTTTTACATTAGTTGTCCTTGAATATGCAAGGATTGACTTAATATTAGGCTTGTTTACAATAAAGTCAAATCCAAACGAAGTCAATTTTCAAGAATACTATAAAAGAGAATGTAGTTAGGCAATAAACATCCACATGAGCAAAATCAATTTAATCACCCAAAATCAAACCAATGCATGCAAATTTTTCAAGCAACACTCTTGTCATGCATATACTTCAATTGAATTCTTAAAACAAATCATCATCAAAAAACAAAAAGGAAAAAAGTTATTATCTCTCCTTTCACTTGGGTTCAACTTTAGCTTGAAGTGTATACCCACCACTGTAATCAAAAGCATCACTATAAGGATGCTTCAGACAACCTTTGCCACTACCAATAAACTCAGTTCTGGACGATGAAGCCGAGGTCGAGTTCGTGTTCAAGCCATCATTCTGCAAAATATTCTCGAGAGACTTTACGACCTCAGCCATCGTGGGCCGGTCGGAGGCCAATTCCTCCACACACTGCACGGCCAGCTCGATAAACCTGTGGAATCCCACGAGGCACGGCGCGCCTCTTATAATGGGGTCCATGATTTCGGCTAAACCATAATGTGTCTCGTCGTTTTTGTCGATCAATGCTCTCACTTCTCGAACAACATATTTTCCCTTCTCGATCGGCTGCTTGGCTGTGATGAGCTCGAGCATAACGACCCCAAAGCTGTAAACGTCGCTTTTCTCTGTCAGCTGTTGTGTCATGTAGTATTCTGGGTCGAGATAGCCCTGTTAATGAGTTGGAGTTTGGAGAAGAATAATAGTAAAAAAATTTGGAACACAATAAGATAAAGAGGAATTATTTCGAACTTTTTTTTTTTTTTTTTTTCAGTGAATGATTTTGATGAGTTTAGAACGCAATATACTGAAGCTAATCGAATAAGCTATAAACTAGCTTATTTGGCTACCAAACATTGCCATAGAGTTTAGAGGGGGAGTGATTTATTGCAGCAGGAGTACAAAATAGCTTGAAGCTCAACAGTTTGTTGCTTTATTTGGGTAGGCAAATTGCAATAATGAATTTATTGTGTGGAGAAGGCAAGCAAGATAATGGAATTAAAAACAGCCATTTGAAAACTAGCGCAATTCGGTTTTATAGTTTATTCTTTTGAAACTTACTAGTGTGCCTTTGACTTGAGTCGAGATGTGGCCTTTAGAAGAGTCGGATACTAGTTTGGACAAGCCGAAATCTGCAACTTTTGCCGTGAGATTGTCGTCTAACAAAATGTTTGAAGACTTGACATCTCTATGAATGATTGGTGGATTTGCGAGCTCGTGTAGGTAAGCTAATCCTCTGGCCGAACCGAGCGCGATTCTTAGCCTTCTTTTCCAATCGAGATGAACTCCACTTTTTCCTGCAAACATATATTTTCTTAACCAAAAGCCGACAGTAACTTTCTTAATGGGTTATCAAATCAGTCTTTCGAGTTTTACTTCTCTGAATATATGATGTAATTACCTGATAAGCTCTCTCTTAATGTTCCATTGGCCATAAACTCGTAAACCAACATCTGTTCCCCTTGTTCGAAACAGAATCCGACGAGGCCAAGAAGATTTTTGTGATGAACTCTTGAGAGCAACTCGATTTCAGTTTTAAACTCGAGCCCGCCTTGTGTTGAACCTTGTTGAGCTCTTTTAATCGCTACTACCTGTCCAGTGGAGAGTACTCCTCTATATACCTGAAAAAAACAAACTAAGGAAAATGAAGAAAGAAAAGAAAAGAAAGAAAGAAACATTTATCCAAATCACTATTTACTTATTTATTACTAACCAGTTGGGAATATACTGGTATTTTGTTGTTGTATTACTAACACTATTACTATTTACTCTTGTTATCATTTTGCAAGCAAAATAATGTAATAATGGAAAACCTTGCCATAGCCTCCAGAACCAATCTGATTGCTTTGCGAAAAGTTACTAGTGCATTTCTTGAGCTCATCGTATGAAAACCATCTTGCTCCTTTTAGCTGTGGGGCACCTCCGCTGTCCTTTCCACTTGGAGTCCATGATGCTGTATGGACGAAATCAAGAAAAAAAAATGCAAAAATGAAGTTTCTGCTAAATAACTACAAACTGATTTTTTACTTGATAGTACAACAAACAACATCAACAACAACATAGCCTTTTTGTCCCAATCAAGTTGGGGTAGGCTAGAGATGAAACCCAAGTGGTGTCCTTTACTTGTTAGTACAAGTCAAACAAAAAGCAAAATCGGAAATATGTATCATCTTGCCCCCTATTTTTCTATTCTAATCTAAATTATAGAGTTTGTTGTAATTTAGAAAGTCCAAAGATATGCTCTTAACCCAAAAGGTAAACACATCTCCAAAGCATTGACTGCAAAAAAAA